GTTATTTGGTTTCTAGACAATAGAACTACTCAATATATTTTGTAGAATAAAATATATTCTAATTCTAATTATAATATTAATACTAATATTAATATTAGTAATATAATTAAGACTAAATAGTTTCAATAAAAATAGACGGTTAGCAGGGGAATAAATAAATACTATGTATGAATAAATTAAAGGAACTTACTAGAAATATTACAGAATAAGTTATATTTAAAAAACTCAATGAAATTACATAAATAAAAGCGTTGATACATGTAAGATTATAAACAGTTCATGGTTACCGAAATAATACCGATTTGCCAATCCACGGAATAGTTTGGATAATTTAGGGAATTTTTATTGAAAATTAATTAATGGTGCTTTAAAACTAAGAACACTTTGTAGATAATACACCCAATGGCTTAGAAAATCTCAAATATATAATCCAGTCTAAATAACGTGTTGCAATGATCATTTAGCGATACTATAACCTAATATTAAAGTGATAAAATATGAAATGTTGGATTAATCAAACATTTAACAGTTCTGATAAAATGTTAGAATTCAGACCCGGTAACGTAGAAACACACAGATTTAGAACACGTGATTTGATTGTCATGCGCTAGGTTTGAACGCGTAGTTTCATTATATCATTATATTGTTGCAGTTAATCCACAGTGTTTTCTGGTAAGAACTTGACAAGTGTGAACCTTTTCAAGACTCAATTTAGAGTAAACCCCTTTAAACAATTTTTTTTCGATGTGTCCTGGTGTAGAAGTGTCTTTTTGTGGTCAAGTCAGCTTATGTTTTCTCAGCTTCAAAATAAAACAAACATAAATAACAAAAAATGCAGCAAACACAGCTTAAAGTTTTGTAATGTAATGTAGTCTCATATTACTAATAATATATAGTTATTTAGAACGATTTATATTTTTTTTACACAATCGTTGCACCTATAACAAATTTAAATAAATTAACATACACGAGAAAACATTAGAAAATATTATATTTACGTTATAAAAACGTTACTGAACAGTTTTTTAAGCATGACCAGTGAAATGCAAAATACTCAAATGTCACTATCATGAGCGACTCATATTTTGCACGTCATGTTTTTACAGCTCTCCAGTTATGTTGACGTTTTATTGTCCAATGAAATATAAACTATAAATTCGATATATAATAAAAACGCAATTCTATTTGGATGTAGAAATTAACTAAATTTTATATTTTTGTAATAGTTAGACGTTAACTAAAATTTGACGCATGCTATAACACAAACCTTATGATTTTTAACTTACATTTCATACCATAAACTCCAAAACGTCCGATCAACGTGTGGAATACTAGGTACCTTTTAATATATTTGTGTAAATATTTATTTAAGTAGTTGCAAATATTTTAAATATATAACAATATTCGCAATGAATTTATTTTTATGGTCGTAAACTCGTTACCTCGTCTTAACAATATTAACATTGCAGAGAGATTGATCCAAATTTGCCCTTTTGGATTCCTTGTGCTAATCATGTATTGATGTTTTGCAAAAATTCAACTTTGTGAGAAGTACTCTCTTGTTGTTAACTCATCTCCAATCTTAAATAATAAACATAGTACAAAATACGTTTATTATTTAAAATAAATTTGTTTTTGAAGTTTTCGAAATCATCCCGGTGGTTGTTTAAATTTTTTTTAACTTTTCATTGACAACATGTTATTGAATTAAATAATATAAAAAGGACATGTTTTAAGAGGTAGACATTGTGCTTTACTTTACCCAGATTGTGATACAGTTTATCAATGATGTTCTGCCAAGTTACGAAAGATTTCGATTTTAAATGGTATTGCAATTAATTTTGACATCCCCAATAGCATTTAATATTTTCTATATGAATGCCTACAGAATTTGCAATTATTGGCAAAAAGGTATGTATACATTTTTGAAGTAAAAATGATAATTGGTGATGATAATGATGAAAATGATAACATGATAATGATCTTGGTCTATAATCCTTTGCCCGATTTCCGAAAGATAGATGAATGTTTATTTCCTTGCATATTTATACAATTTGTTACAAACTCTCCCTAAACTTTATCTAGAATAGGAACCATAGTAACTAACAACGCCCTATCAAGTGTTTGGTACTCTACAATGTAAACTATAAAAGACTACGGAACATTCGGCCACCGACGATTCACGGCACGCCTGCTCAAATCGTGACTACACCTTTCCTCTCCAAATATTTATGGGTACCAAATTACCTACTACAACTTTTGGAATGTAAATTACATAATGATCTATTTCAGTAATAATAACATTCTTTTATACGAAGTATTTTCGGTACAAACTCCTGTATAACCTCACATTATGAATCGATTTAAAAAGCATTACGACAACTTAACTTGCTACAATTACTTTTGTGTTTTCTGAAGGTTAGGAATTTCGGAAACTATGCTTTGGTACTCATTTAAAATAATATATTAATTAACTAAGGTTACAAATCTGTATTTTAGATTTAGAGTACATTTTACTAACTGGCATAGAGATACACACACAAAATAAATAATAATATAACTGGTATTAACAAATACCTGCTTTTAAAATCTGTGACCTGTAAACTATATGGTTAAATGAAAAATAACGAAACTTAACACTGTTGTTAAAATTTATTATATTCACACAACTGTGCATTTATGAAGACTATTTTCTCGTCAACAAGTCTCAACCGGTCACAAAAAAGAATGTTTTTGAGGGGAAACACTCATTTAAACATCTACAAACACATTTTGACTCGAGCCATTTTTCACAAACTATAAGTTACTAATTCCTCAGACCCTTTATTGTGGTTTGAATTAATGTCTATGTTAGTTTTATACAATATACCTAATTGTTGCGTCAACTATTACAAATAGTTATCATCTTAAAATCAACTTACCCCATCCTCCCATGATATTTATCTTGTAAACGACTTTTCAGTTTCATCAGTTCATGAGTGAATATGTTATATGCTAAAACACTCACAGTAAAAAAATTATCGTAAATACATATTTTATGGTGTACAAATAAAAAATAGTATCAGTAAACACGATTAAGGCAATTTTAATTTTAATGAGATAGTTTGCGGTTCATTCATTGTTAAAATTCACCCGGTTCCGATACAAATTGAAAACGCATGGCTATCGAAGCAGCTCAGAACTTCGTTATAAAAACCAAATTTTGAGTCTTTGAAGATCAAACGCGTTAAAAGAACGATTACATGGGGCTCTTAGCCAAGAGGGTTGTAGCCGATTTAAAAACGCTCTGGAATAATCGCCCCGTAATACAATTGCGTGAATTATGCCATTTGAGAGGGTCGGAGATCCGGTTAGAGCAAACGCTCGCTTTGTGAAGCACTGAGTACTCTACAATACATTACTTGTACATCGCGATTGTCTTATTTAGACGCTAAAATCTTTGTAATAAATCAAATTAATATTATTTGTTTCGCTAGTTTTGTTTAATACTTTCTTTAACCCACTGAGAACAATGAGAACCAAATATGGTGTAAGATAATTATCGCGTTTCTTTTTATTATTTCTACTTTAGCTTGGATTTTGTTACCTTGTTATAGAATTTTTCACATAAAAAAAACCCTGCATTGTTGCATATGACTATTTAAAATTATAAAGACTTTATATATGAATTAGCTTCTACAGTTAAAATGGTTAGATGAATATAAATAATCAACCGATTTTAATGAGATTTGGATAAACATTTTAGTAAAAACATGTGCTCTTCTCTCGACATTTTCCAAAATACAAACAATGTGTTTACCATTAACATCAACCCATAAGACTTTCATTTATAGTGTTTAATTTCTTCATTTGTTCAAAATAAACGTGATGAACGCGGCACGTAAACTTCAATGTTAATATTTTGAAGAACGAATTGTTAGACTTTTTAGTTTGTAAATATACTTTCATTTTAGCTTGGGTTATTCACTTTATGGCAAGCTTTTGAAATGTTATAAAACGTCCAATTTTAGCGCCCCTTTTAACCGTAGACCTAAGTATTACAACTACTTTCCATATAATGTACAAGTTTGAACATAAGTTTTATGAGGAAGAACTTCAAGCGTTCATCGGAATTATATTTTAAATGTCGTTTATGCATAAAAACATGATCCAACGTTACTTACTACGATTATATGATAACTATTTCCCCCGTTTTTAAAGTCATTTACAACCTTTTGGCCATGAATGGAACTTAGAGAGCAGTCAGGCTACCATTCAGTTGTCCGAGAAAATTGGTCGAATTCGGAACGTTTTGCGAAAAACAATAAAACTCCCAGTCATTAGCCTACCTTCCTGTCGAGGCCCTCTAATTTCCTTCTCGGGTTTTTGTGTTATTGGCGAACACAATTCTAGTTTTACACTAGACAGAGAAGTGGTCACAAGAAATCAATAGAAGGGCGTAAACACCGTGTCCGCGACGGTATCGCGCGTTGCCGTCCGCGTCCGTACCTCCCGCCGCCTCTGTCCGTCACCGCGCGTGCTACATTCGTCACGGCTTAAATGAATTTATGATGATTTTGCTGAAATTTCAAACACAAGCGTCTTTTTCCGCCACGGAGAATGTAAAAAGAGCGTCCAGCGGGTTTGGTCACCGGACCGAAGAACCAGAGATTGGCTACGCGTGGCACTCGCTCCTGCAAAAACTCGGGCCCACTCCAAAAACTGTTCCCCCACACAAAACCTGGATCCGTTCGTGCAGCAAGCTGATGCCTCATGGCTGATTATGCACGCTGCAGTGAGTACTCCCACCACACTAACCGATCATGTTTGTTTTGTTTTGGGACTTAACTATAGGGTTCACTCTGCAGTGGGATAATTCTAAAAAAAGACACGTTGGTCTCGAATCCCTTTGACGTGTGACGCATATTCAAAGTTCTTGCAACAAAGCTCGAGTTCAAAAGTTGTTTATTTAAAATTAGCTGAGTATTTTTGCATTTGTTCCTACGACTGGTGTGTTACAGGCCGAGCTCCAGGGTCGGCGTCGTCCGCCAACACCATGATCATCGCCTGTGCCGGCTGTGACAAGCCAATCCTGGACAAATTCCTTCTGAATGTTCTCGACAGGCCGTGGCACGCCGAGTGTGTCCGCTGTGTGGACTGCCACAACAACCTCACCGACAAGTGCTTCAGCCGCGAGGGGAAACTCTTCTGCAGGAATGACTTCTTCAGGTGAGATTCTTGTCAATACATGCATATCCCAAAGACATTTTAATAAGACGGAAGTAACAGTAAACCTGTAGATATTGATAATACTGGCATGAAATTAGTATTATAAGTGCTGAAAAGGTCGTGGGCAGCAAGTTTAAACTAAAAGACGCGAATGACTCATTTTGTATGAAATAGTCTACTCGAATGTCAGGCAAAAGCACACGCTTTTCCTAAAACAAATATACTATTTATATACCCAGGTATTTTTTTTTGAACTCATTTCATTGTATGTTGGTTGTCCATAGCGGTTGTGGAGTCATAATTTGTATAAAAGAGTCTCAAAAAGCAAAGAAACAAAAACAGACCGGCGAATGGAGTCCGTCTTGCATACTAGTCTTGCCAGTACAAGGTTATTCAAACAAGGTAGAGAGAGGCCGGCATATAAGCCTACAATTTGACATAGATTACCGATAAAACGACTCCGGGACCGCAAAACAGTAAATACTGACATGTTTGTGGCATTTTTTCCAAGAAATATCACATTTCTTTACGACCCGGCGTCACACAATATTCACTGATTTTTAATAGTCTTGGAGGTCGGCGCGGCTGCCGAAAACCTAAAGAATTCATAACCCTATAAACACATTCCTGAAACGCATAAATAAGGGAGTCGGCGGGTGACAATGGAGGGGCGATTTCACGGTGCACCCGCACGCACATGCGCGCTAATCCACCGACTCCGCCACCTCGTAATCACTCCTGACTCTACCACGATGTCCACCTCTACACAATGCATACTTACAATTACACATTGTAGTAGCTAATCTACCTACTCCGCCACCTCGTAATCACTCCTGACTCTACCACGATGTCCACCTCTACACAATGCATACTTACAATTACACATTGTAGTAGCTAATCCACCGACTCCGCCACCTCGTAATCACTCCTGACTCTACCACGATGTCCACCTCTATACAATGCATACTTACAATTACACATTGTAGTAGCTAATCCACCTACTCCGCCACCTCGTAATCACTCCTGACTCTACCACGATGTCCACCTCTACACAATGCATACTTACAATTACACATTGTAGTAGCTAATCCACCTACTCCGCCACCTCGTAATCACTCCTGACTCTACCACGATGTCCACCTCTACACAATGCATACTTACAATTACACATTGTAGTAGCTAATCCACCTACTCCGCCACCTCGTAATCACTCCTGACTCTACCACGATGTCCACCTCTACACAATGCATACTTACAATTACACATTGTAGTAGCTAATCTACCTACTCCGCCACCTCGTAATCACTCCTGACTCTACCACGATGTCCACCTCTACACAATGCATACTTACAATTACACATTGTAGTAGCTAATCCACCTACTCCGCCACCTCGTAATCACTCCTGACTCTACCACGATGTCCACCTCTACACAATGCATACTTACAATTACACATTGTAGTAGCTAATCTACCTACTCCGCCACCTCGTAATCACTCCTGACTCTACCACGATGTCCACCTCTACACAATGCATACTTACAATTACACATTGTAGTAGCTAATCCACCGACTCCGCCACCTCGTAATCACTCCTGACTCTACCACGATGTCCACCTCTACACAATGCATACTTACAATTACACATTGTAGTAGCTAATCTACCTACTCCGCCACCTCGTAATCACTCCTGACTCTACCACGATGTCCTCCTCTACACAATGCATACTTACAATTACACATTGTAGTACAGTCTAACCTTGATATAACGAACCTCGATATAACGAATTCCTTGATATAACGAATTTTTTTTTTTAATCCCCTAGAACTCTCCATAAGACACAATGTATATTTTACCTCTACATAACGAACAAACCATAACAACGACCTTGATTTAACGAATATTTCGTGATTTCGGCTAAAATAAGACACCTCAATATAACGAATTTATCATTGTCAGAACCTCTACATTGCGAATTTAACCTCTGCATAAAGAATTGTCTACGTCTTTCCCTCGATATAACAAATCCCCCACCCAATTATTGTTTTGGGAAAATCTGTTTCTTTATCAAATGAAATGGGAAGGTCACGTCATCGCTTGCGCTAACATTCGTCTGCTCCGTTTTACCTCTTTGTATGATGTCAATCTGCTGTGCGCGCTATGTTGCAACTGAACTGAACTGATTTCATTCACTGAGGACTGATGACGACGTAATGTCTAGTAAGCTGTGATTGGGCGATATGAAATAACTATGGTGAATTGTACAATTTTTGGATGAAGAGAAAACTAAGAAAGAATATAAAAACAAAACCAAAGAGAAAGAATAGCAACATCGTTATCTTAACATTCCTTTTACGAGTGTTTTTATTACCCTTAAGTTGGCTATGATTATACACTTTTATAATAGCTTATCTAATAATTTATTGTTTTCAATACGATTTGTTTCAACTAGCAACACCAATGCTATAGTCAATGATTATTATTGACATTCCTCTGTTGTGATAAATCAGTACTGTACTGTAAGTAGCCTACCGGCCTATCACGAGCACTAGCTTACAAAACTTTCTACTGTTTTGTTTTGTTCTTTACATGGTTTATGACTACGCAATACAGTGTTTGGCTAGGTTTTAGGAGGGTTAGAACAAGCTGTGATTTTAAACTTACAGTGTTTAACCTGTACCAAGGTCAATGCCATTGTCATGATTGCGCAATATTCAAGATCCCTCCCGTTTATTTTGCCGGATAATTTAGGTTCTACTGTACAATGTAAACACTGTACTGTTAAGTATTGTAGCGTAGCCTATGCTACTTTAATTGTATTTTAATGAGGTCAAATCCCGACTTATATTGACCTACGCTGGTTCTGAACCTCGACTTAGCGAAATTCCTGCAAACCTAACCTCTATATAACGAACCTCGTTTTAACAAAATCCTTGATATAACGAATATTCAGTTCGGTCCCTTCAGATTCGTTATACTGAGGTTGGACTGTAGCTAATCTCTGGCAATACATAATTTGACCTACAAATTTGTAAGTTGATTACGTTTAAAATAGTAACATTTGTTGTTATGTGTTCACAAGATTAGAATACAACGGTTATCCGAAAACATATTAGAATAATTAGGAAGTTTAGATGCAGTTTGACTTAAAACATGCATTTAAAGTTATATGGTTTAGGTACATTTTATGTACTAAGATATTGTGTGACTGTAATTTATTTAGTATCGGAACTAAGCTATAATGTTATCAAATGGCAATTCCACGGTTCAAGGACACTTGTATTAAAGTGATTGGTTGGATGCAGAGTGTGTTATTGTTTCTGCATGGAATTATTTATAGGCATGAATGGAACTTTGGCAAGAACTCTTCTCATATCCCGGATTGAAATTCGACTGTGGGTTAAATACCTCATAGCCCACAAGAAAACGAGACAAAGTTCTAAAGTCTTAAATGATGAAGTTTTTTTAATTGAACCTACAATCACCAATACCTTACTCCTTTAGACAAGTGAATAAACATTGTTGAAAAATATAGCCTCCTATTTGTGTTTCTGTGTAGGCCTGTATACCGCAAAAATCTTCACCTGCCTTTTAAGTGATACCAAGAAGCGAATTAGTATGCTAGGGTCTTAAAAATTCGCAAAAACCATCAAATATAAAAAGTATAATAGGGGATGGATGTTGTTCCGCAAAATACGGTATATAAATTAGCATTTTGATGGTTCTCTCTTGGTTCTCCCAGAAATGATTTAATACCCGAGTAAAAAATTAACGATGTTAGACGTTAGGACCAAGCCGTTCGCCGACCGCTCCAGAACACCCAGGCCCGGCGCGGTTGGTTTTTGAAGCTTTAGACCCCAAAATCCACTTTCTTTAAATACATTTTGTAAACTTATTTGCATTCATTTTTATCAAACTTAATCGAAATAATTCAATTACTGATTTGATTTATGACGACATTATAGTTTTTTGATCATACGTTAGTGTATTGTAAACTTTGTAATATTGCAAGGTATAAGTTATCAATAGGCCTACTATTGATAAACCTTTAGTTAACACACCAATTTAGTTCAATTATTAACTGTAGGCTGCGGTTGTGGATTCTCGATTAAAAATAGTCGCAAATAAATTGTTAATATGCAACCAAATTAAACGTGCATTAATTCTGATTTCAAAACTTTAAATGAAAAACAATGCGCCGCTCACATTAGGTGTCAAACAAGTCTGAAACGAAACATTAATTACTACAAAACACAATTAGACCAACACTTATAAGAATCCAAAGATAGCGAGGAGACGAGAAATAGACGGAGTTATTTTGAATAATTCACATGAGTGGCTATGACTTGACAGCTATTTCTGAGGCAATCTCGTGTCTTCAGGCAATGGTGCGTAGTACAACAGTTCAACACGATCGCGCTTGTCTTCGGACACGTTCAACACGCGTGAAGACACGGGACTAGACTCGCGGGTGATGCGACGACTAAAACACTACGAGAAGTAGAACAGGCTCAAGTACCGTCATACTACTAGGGTTCTTAGATTTTTTACCTGAAAATATATTTTCCAATAAAAGATTCCACGTTGTGTAACATATTTCAATATTGTCTGCATAAATCAAACTGAAATAACAATACAAATTTTCTGATCCGAAAACCTTTTTCGGAAATCTAACCTAAAGAAATATCACGGATGGTTCACTAATATACTTAGTACATAAAAATGGTTTCCTTATATTCCAGCTGATACCCATGCTACCTGGTTAAAAATTACTATACCTCAGTATGAACTTCAAGGACCAAGAAAAATAGTCTTATAGAACATAATATTTAATGAATGTAATACAGTAGTATCAGTTAAATGTATTTACAAGTCGAAATGCGGGTACCAAACATATCATTGTTATTAGTTCTGATTTCATTCGTTATTCACTTTTGATATTTTTGTCATTGGCACTAGGCCACTCCAGCAGACTACTTACTACCTGAACCCATTATTATT